TTACTGAATCACAAGGTTTCGAACACTATTCACTTATTGTTCATGATCATATCAATTATAATCACTCGACTTCGAAACTTGAGTTTTATAGTTTCCTTTATTCCTTCCTCTTCGTCGTCGTACGGGTAGTAGAATTTTCCAGACATCTAGGACAGATGTTGAATCATTCCTATTACACGTATTCTCTCTCACTTGATTCGATAAACAAAGCTTCCGTTGACATCAGTCCCTCCCTCCACTCAGCTGTTACATTACATTTTAAACTGAGTATGGATACTCCCCCTAAATCCGGTCCAAAAAAGTCGAAAATTTCAAAATTTCAAAAACGCTTCCAAGTGATAGAGGAATGCGTGAAACGTGTTTTGGTATCTGTGACCATGGGGTTTTGAGCTTGTTTAGACCTACTAGCGCCCAGCTAGGCTGTCTTGTGTATAACCCTAAAATCCTATAGTAAACACAGCATAAGCTAAATAGCCGATATGAGCGTGAATTAGCTGGTGCTCATGGCTCGCTTATATGATTGTGTATGGTTTTCTATAGCCTTGGCGGACGTATAGAAGCTGTTTGCATGCTAAATTGGTTGGCAAGGATAATTTTGGTGGCTGCTGACTTTCTTTTATAGGGGCCTATTGTCACTATAGCGTTGCTATGCGTGCTACTTTTGCATATAATAATACGTTTGGCTAGTCTTGTATGCGAGATGAGTTCTATAGGGCTTGTCTATGCAGTGCATAATTGATTGACGCGATCAATGGTCCGCGTAACAATGCCTACCTAACAATAATATACTAACGGTGCGAACGGTCCACCGAGAGAGAGGGCTCTCGAGTGGTTGCGCCACAGGATGATCCTGCATGCCGGTCTCGTCTCGCAAGAGGCAGGGATGGGTGTGTTCGGTTCTCCTGAAAACCAATGCCCAGTCAATGGGTGTATTACTGTGCAAATAAACTGGTTGATCCTGCCAGTAGTTATATGCTTGTCTCTGAGATTAAGCCATGCATGTCTAAGTACATACCTTAAAACGGTGAAACCGCGAATAGCTCATTAAATCAGCTATGGTTCCTTAGATCATATATGCTACATGGATAACTGTAGTAATTCTAGAGCTAATACATACAATTATGCCCTTACCCGCAAGGGAATGGGTGCATTTATTAGAACAGAACCAACCGGGGGCAGTTTCGGTTGTCTCTGTTGAATTCTGTGATGACTCTGGATAACTTTAATGATCGCAGTCGGCCTTTTGTCGGCGACGGATCTTTCAAATGTCTACCCTATCAATTTGTTGGTAGGTGATCTGCCTACCATGATAATAACAGGTAACGGGGAATCAGGGTTCGATTCCGGAGAGGGAGCCTGAGAAATGGCCACCACATCCAAGGACGGCAGCAGGCGTGAAAATTACCCACTCACGGCATGGAGAGGCAGTGAAGAAAAATACGAATACGGGACTCAATTGAGGCTCCGTAATTCGAATGCGTACAATTTAAATCCTTTAACGAGGACCAATTGGAGGGTAAGTCTGGTGCCAGCAGCCACGGTAACTCCAGCTCCAAACGCGTATATTAAAGTTGCTGCAGTTAAAACGCTCGTAGTTGAACCTGGGTTGCGTGGTCGCATGCCATTGCTTGTTCGCCGTTTTGGTTACGATCAGAACTTGTGTTTGGCTCGATGTAGTGGCTGTGTAGCCTTTCAGCTGTATCTGTGTAAACGGAATTCGCCGAAAAGAGACTCTTTGCTGAACTACTTGTCTTTTGTCTAATAATATTTGTTGTTGTTACAATTATGGCCAGTTATGCGGCGGATACATTTTTTAACGTAGAATAACAGATTAGTAGTTATGGGGTGTCAAAATAAATAGTCGTATTTGTGTGAAAAACGTCGTGCTCTTGGCTGAATTCATTTACGGAATATACACATTTGATCATACAGAATAATAAAAAGACAGTTGCAGCGAAGAAAATTTTCTTTTCGACGAAGTCATCAACTAGGTAGCTGTACATTCGTGTATTTAAAATAAATGAATGGGAAAGTTCCAGAATAATTTCCAGTCAAGGGTCAGATTAATAAAATTACAATTAGGATTTATAATGACATGTTAAAATAGGGGGGGGAGGTGGCGGATACAACTCAAAAAAAGTAGCATCATAATTACTGAGAAGATTGACACTGATTGTGCAATTCGGGGTTAGAAATGTAGAAATAACAAAATACACAGGATGTTTCGATACGAAAATATGGTAGTGAAAATACGGGTTAAGAAAAACTTAAAAATCACATGAATAAACAGGAAGTTTGGATAAGAAAAGCAATGGGATAGTCACTATTAGGAGAATTACCTATTAATGATAGTCATGGCAGGGGCAAGGGTTGGACGTATTTCTTTTGGATACATAGAGTGGGTTTGAGCTTTTGGATGGCTAGTGCCTCGGCTATGCCCAGATGTCTTAATTTTACTCCCTCTGACAGGTTTGGTCGAATATTGTATATGATTTTGAAGGATTTTTTGAATGGCACTGAATGTCCTGAATTGACCAGATGTTCTGTCACTGAACTAGACACACGTTTTCGTTCTCCTTTTACTAACCAGGTTGCATAGTGTTCACGGGCGTGCTTTTCAAGTTGGCGCATGGTTCGGCTCCACACGAGCAAGTAAACTGGTATATTCACGTTGAAGTGGCCAAATGCGACGGTTTGTCTTTCGGGTTCTGGCGGAATAGCTTGTTGCAAAAAAATTCACTCGTAGGCTTGCGGCGAAGTATGTCTTCCTCAGAGATTTGCAGAGGTGTTTACGAAGGATTTCTGCTTCAATATTACCTTTGAATTCTAGATTAAGCAGAAGTATCTTCTTCGGGACGGATTGGACTTGTACGGAAGTCTTCTTTGATTTTAGATTCTTGTCTATGAACCTAGGCAGAAAATGTTTTCCATCAGGGTTCCTAGGAGATTATGCAGTTCTTCGTCAATCACTTCCTCTCTGCATATTTTCCAAATCCTCGAGGAAAGAGCGTTTATCAGGTTCCACTTTCTACTTAGGGGCGCGAAGCTTTGAAAGTTGAGGAATTGTCCATTCCATATAGGCTTTTTGTATATGGACCTTTTCAGAGAGTTGTTGGCGTTTCTTGTCACATGGCCGTCGAGGAAGTGGAGCATTCCGTCGAATTCAGCTTCAAGTGTAAAGTCAATGTTTTGGTGGGCACTGTTGATGCTTTGAAGTAAGTTTTCAAGGTCCAATTTCTCATCAAAAATGATGAAAGTATCATCAATGTATCTCTTGTAGAGACGGAGGTCGTCGATAGCTGATGATAAGGAGTTGTTTTCTAGGCTAGTCGTAAAGCAGTCGACCAGGAGGAGTCCTAAGGGAGAACCCATCGCTACTCTGTCATCAACTGCATGAACACTTATTCGTCATATAAGTTATGATCCCACTAGATTTTGTTATCCAAACATTATGTCCCTTTTTGTTATTTCTACATTTCTAACCCCCAATTGCACAATATGTCAATCTTCTCAGTAATTATGATGCTACTTTTTTTGAGTTGTATCCGTCCCCCCTCCCCTATTTTATCATGTCATTTTAATTCCTTATTGTAATTTTATTAATCTGACCGTTGACCGGAAATTATTCTGGAACTTCCCCATTAATTTATTTTAAATATACGAATGTACAGCTACCTAGTTGATGACTTCGTCGAAAAGAAAATTTTCTTCGCTGCAACTGTCTTTTTATTATTCTGTATGATCAAATGTGTATATTCCGTAAATGAATTCAGCCAAGAGCACGACGTTTTTCACACAAATACGACTATTTATTTTGACACCCCATAACTACTAATCTGTTATTCTACGTCAAAAAATGTATCCGTCGCATAACTGACCATCATTGTAAGAACCTGAAGAGAAGAAATCATTGAAAAGAATACTCTTCGTTCATGATATGGGAATATTTCACAATATTAAATAGAGGTCAACCTTAAGTTCCATAGACAAGTGTGAAATAGAAGGTGAGAAAATAAAGTCCATTAGGAAATGTGAATATGTGAATATAATATGATGGAGACAACATAGGATGAGTGAAATGTTGTCAGAGTAGTAGACTAGACAAAATGTTAGAATATGATAACATAAAATGAAAAAATAAAACAAAAATGGAACATGGAATAAAGAGGGATAACAAAGTTTTTATGTGAATTACATAGTTAAGTCAAGACCATGGGTATTAGATTAACTAAAGTGTTTTGTTTTATTGGCTTCACTGGCGGGATCCTGTATCCGACATACCTTGTTTCTAATTGAGTATGTTTTGGGGGGCTGACAGACATACTCAATTAGAAACAAGCTTTGTCGGATACTGGATCCTATGGAGCCTTTAAAACAAAACAATTTAGTTTATCTAATACCCTGCCTGCGATGACTGTGAGGTCAAATGCATAGATCAAACTAGTAGAACAGGGTCAGTCAGTCAGTCAGTCAGACTAACCGAGCATATAAAACTTGGAAAATTTAGATTAGTTGACCCGAATAAGATAAGAAATCTAGAGGATAGTTCAGCTACACCACTCACCACATGCAATTACACACAACTATACAATAGGCTGGATGGGATTAGATGACAGTTGTAAAATCTAATCTAATGTAACAGCAGGGTGGAGGGAGAGATTGATGTCAACGGAAGCTTTGTTTATCGAATCAACTGAGAGAGAATACGTGTAATAGGAATGATTCAACACCTGTCCATTTGGACATCTGGAAAATTCTACTACCTGTACGACGACGAATAGGAGAGAACAAAGGAAACTATAAAACTTAAGTCATATCATTTAATTCCTAATTGTAATTCTATTAATTTGACCTTTGACCGGAAATTATTCTGGAACTTTCCCATCCATGTATTATAATTACACGTATATACAACCTAGTTGATAATGCGTGTGTATTTCAGTGTTTGTCTCTGTGTGTGTGTGCCTGTGTGTGTATGGGTGTGGATGTGTAACACTTACCTAACACCATAATATCTTGCCAATGTAATCAACTCATGTGTGGTTAAAGCATTCTCTTTACCAGTCAGCTGATCAATTAAACATTTCATTTGATCATAACTAATTGTCCCTGTCCCATTGGGATCTTCATTCATTGCAGACTTCATCATTTCATCACATCTATCATGTATAAATTCTTTTAATTTATTCATAATTAATCTAAGATCAGATTTTGTAAATTGTACATGATTCTTCTCCATATAATCTAATGTATAATCATCAGCATCGATTAATTCAAATATGAATGTATTAAAATTCAGTATAGCGCCAATATATAAATCAGCTGGTTTATAATATTCAATTGGTTTTGAATCGAATAATTTACTACCGGGTTTTTTAACTTTTGAACGTTCAAGAAATAGACCACCAATAAAGCCTAATAGAGTAGAATATAAAAAAAGAGAAAGATGGGAAAATTATCGATTAGACAAGATAAATATATATGTATAACTTAACTATAGATCACATTAGATGATTAATACTATTAATTGTTCCCTTTTAGGGTTTCGAGGGGAATGTAGGCCGTCAACAGAACATTTTCACTTCATCTTGTTTTTTGAAGTCTTCTTCAGATGGCTTCACAATTGCTTATGGACTCTCACTTCCTCCATGTCACCCTCGGATGCACACGCAACTCGTCGTATCCCATCCAGGTCTCACTCGAGCGATGGCTTGTATTGAGCGCGATGTCATTCGACGGTCTCTTCAGTGTGTTCCCAATCCATCTCCATTTTCTCCTTTATATTTCTGCGGTAATCGGCTATTGGTTGGTTTGTTCCCAACCAGAGTTTCTTGTAGCTAATTCTTTCTGGCCAACGGGCCATTTGATCTTCAGTACGGAGCCAGCGAAGGTAGCTGTTGATAAAAGTCTACAGTGGCCTGTTGGAAATCCTTTTCGTAACACACTGGTCAAGTTTCTGATACGTATTGAAGGACTGACTTGACATTGGTGCTGGAAATCCAAATCTTATTCTTTATGCTGAGGCGAAGTGCAGAAGATTTCCAAATTGGTTTCAGGTTGATGAATTCTGAATCAAACATCTTCATCCATTCCGAATTCCTGTGGTTGAAACGATGCTTCCCAGATGAGTGAAAGAGGTAACCTCTGTCAAATCTCTCTCTTTGATGGTGATTGGTACTGGTTGTTGTTGCTGTTGTTGTTGGGAGTGTTTAGTTATCTTTATCATCTCCGTCTTCTCAGTGTTCACCTGCAATCCTGTCTTCACTGGCTGCTTCTTCAGCCAGTTTGTTGGTTTTCGCCTGTCTGTCTTCGAGTTTACGTGACACTATACATATACATCATCTGCGAAATCCAGATCTTCTACAGTTATCTTGTCGGTGGTCCAGCGTACTCCTGTCTCCTCGATCTCCACTAACAGTCTGACGCATAATCCAGTCTACCACAATTAAGAATATCATCGTGGGTGATAATAGGTAGCCAGCCTTGTCTTACTCACATTATTATTATTCCCTTGATTTCCTAGTGGAACATAGGGCTTCAACTACACATCTCCACTTGCTTCTGACTTCTGCTGCACTTTTCACTTGCATCCATGTTAGTCCATGCTGTTTCAGCTCCTCTTCACACGATCTCCTCCATGTCACCCTTCGACGTCCCACTCGCCGCTTCCCTTTCGGGTTCCATTCGAGCGATGGCCTGACACGCGATGTCACCCAGCGGCCTCCTCAGCGAGTGTCCGATCCATCTCCACTTTCTCCTGCATATTTGTTGAGCGATTGGTTCTTGTTTTGTTTGTTCCCATTGTTTCTTGTTGGTGATTCTTTCCGGCCGTCTGATCTTCAGTACAGAGCGAATATCTTACTCACATTGTACTTTACTTTTTTAACACTTTAAAATGTGAAAATGTGCAATTTTTAAATGACAAATGTTACTGTAAAGAGTTGGACAGTTTCTTAAAAGCGATGCACATTATTTATTATTATTATTGCTCCCTTAGAACATAAGGTTTCGATAACAGAATAACACGTTGAATAATGTCCAAACGATAGCATGGAGTTTCCTAGAGTTCTATTGAGAAGTCGTGACCAGTGAGGTCCAACCGGTCGGGGGTGGGGATGGATTTCCCACTGATGACATTGGTTGGTGATCACGCTAAATCACGAATTGGTAGAAGTTGAAATTCATGGTGTGGCGACCATTGAAGCGTGTTCCAGTGGCTGAATGGTATACAAGCTGGCTTTCCTTGTAACCGGGAGGTCCTGGGTTCGATTACCGTGCGGTGGGCGCTTACTGTTGATGATTCCCAAGCACTAGGACAACGTAAACAGCTGTTCAGTCCTCGGCTGCTGGTTTTCAATGATTCTCTAATTGATATCAATCTTTGGTCATATTTGTGAAAAAAACAAATGTAATCCTTACAAACCAACCCTTGAAAATTAACTATCAGAAACAATCTATAGGAAACAGGCATAAAATATACTCACACAAAAAACTTGGAGGATCTGGACTTTGCCGATGATATATGTCTGATTTCCCACAAACTGGAAGATATGCAAGTGAAAAGCAACAAGTTGGCAGAAGAAGCATCAAAGTTAGGACTTCTTTCAGGTGAACATGGAGAAAACAGAGGTGATGAAGATTCCTGGGCAACACTAACAACAGCAACAACAACAACAGACAACAATCAGCATAAATGGAAGGAACCTGAAAGAAACAACCTCATTTACCTACCCACTTACCTAGGAAGCATCGTTTCAACTACAGGCAGACGGAACTGACGAGGATATCAAAGTGAGAATCGGAAAAGCAAGACAAGCTTTCATTACTCTCAAGTCTGTGTGGAGGTCAACAGCACTCAGCATCAAAAATAAGATCCGGATTTTCAACTCCAATGTTAAGTCAGTCAGTCCTACTTTACGAATCAGAGACTTGGCCAGCGCGTCATAAAGAGAGTCTCAAACAAACTACAGACCTTCATTAACAGTTGTCTTCGCTCAATACTCAAGATCAGATGGCCGGCCAGAAAAGATCAGCAACAGAGAGGGATCTCTGGGAGCGAACCAACTCAGCAGGAACCGATTGTGAAACAAATAGGCAGGAAGAAATGGAGGTGGAATGGCTGGCCATACTCTGAGAAAACAAACCATCAAGTGACATCACACGACTGACCATCGCTCGAGTGGAACCGGAAAGGGAAGCGGCGAGTTGGTTGTCAGTTCGAGGGTGACTTGGAGGAGGTCATGTGAAGAAGAGATGAAAACGTGTGGGCAGACTTGGAGCCAGGTGAAGACTCTAGCCTAGAACCGAACGCCCTATGTTCCTCTAGGAATTAAAATAAACAATAATAATAATAACACTGTACAGACCAACCTGAATTCTTTTGTTGTGTTTCGTAGATTGCAATTGTATCATCGGAGAGATAACAGCTAATAACAAATTGACGATCACGATCTGTTGGCCTGTTAGAGATTAAACGAGCAGCAAATCGTAAAACGTGTGATTCTAAACCTTGACGATCTAATTCCATGAATTTTTTAAAATTACGATTTGGTGGCATCGGTAGTAAACTTTGACAATTAGCTAAAGAATCTTCTTCAGTACCCCAACCATTATACGGTGGAATTTCACGCTTCAATGGGACTCGTGTATCGGATATTTTCGGCTTTACTGGGGTAAAATCGCCTACAAACAAGAAAGGAACAGTTCGGTAATTTGTGAAATCATTCAAACAGGGATTTGTGGTGAAAATTGATTATTTTGCAAAATAATTTCTTTGAGTAAATCTGTTTCATCGAGAAGTTATATCAGTAGTCTCATGTTGTTTTTTTGCCTTCTGGGTTTCCCCCTGGGCCGGTGCACCCGCCTCCGTAATCGACCTGAACAACCCGTCCTCTGACAGTTCATCCATATCCGCGGCGTGCTTAGCGTGGACGCCCGATCAACATGAACACCCATATACCGGAACTCCCGGTCCCGCGAAATTCCGCGTCGCTGGCAGAGCGGTAGAATGCTCGCCAACTACGCCTCATATTGTCCGGGGTTCAATCCCCGGTCGACTCACTCCTTTACCGCTCTAAGCCACTAATACGACTACTAAGAGGGAAGATTGGCCATGAGGCAGGCTAGCAACCCCATCCTTCAGAGATAAACACCACCGCTACAGAAAGTTCATACCTCTAGCTTGAACCCCTATGTTCCACTGGGGACGTAAAGGAATGGAAAAAAAATCAATCTGAGACACGGAAAATAGAGGTACCCACTTGATGATAAGTGTGTGCATGTGTTGTCTGTCTGGAACTGGTTATTCAATAGTTTAGTCTTATATCGCAAAGAATTCGTATCATACACAGGCAGACCGACAGATAATCAATGAAGCGCTTAGTATTTTTATTTTTTTTCAGTTTTATTCTCTTACGTTCCGAGTGAAACATAGGGCTTCAAGCTAGAGCTGTGAAGTTTTCGGTAGCAGTGGTGACCATTTTTACAGGGTGAGGTAGCTAGACTCATGTCCAACGTTCCTTCTTATGTGAGCTTACTACTCGGTTAGCAAGTTAAAGGAGTGAGTCGACCAGGGATCGAACCTTAAACCATATGCGTGGTTGGCGAGCATTTTACCACTGTGCCACCGACGCACAAGTCCCTAGAATAGGCCAATCCTCAGGGTAATGCTGTATGAGGTGGACCCGTACATGAGGTTGAGCAAGCTCACAACACTCGTCCATATGGATATGTATCCCTGATTAATCATACTTGGACAAAATTCCCTTTTGTCTATATCTTCTTATGGAGAGGCTAACAAATGTTTTACAATAGTTATTCATACGCACACACATACATACACACAGCATTTTATGCTGCATACAGACATATATTTTCTTATTCAGTTATCTACGACCATGAACTTTAGTCGAATGTAATCACTAAAATTCTGATGCAAAGTATATACTCTGTTTAAAGTGTTTTACAAAAGTGGACTTATATTTGTAACAGACGTGCTGAGCTGAAATCGATTACAAAATATTTCGGTGAAATGGGAGACAATGGTGGTGATTAGTCATAACAGATCCGCAGAATGTGGGGTAGGAAAAAATCGACAAGTCAGTTCAAGGTTATAAAAGGTGTTAGATGAGTGAGTGGCTAGTACAAAGTGGTACAAAGTAATGAAATAACCGATGTGTGAAATGAGGAAACAGGTGAAGGCATATATTGAGAAAAGAGATAATATCACTATTGATAATAAGTCCGAATAGTATAAATGGAAAATTCGATAGTACTGAGAGAATGTTTGCATGAAGGGCATAATTTATGACGAATAATAATCATAAAAGTAATAATGACCAAAGAAAAAATAAAGCTCAATGTACGCACTTCCTTAGCTTCGTATCGGTGAAATAAAAACGTAATCTGATCAGGTGCTTAGCACTTAGAGCGATGTGCATTTGTTCCGAAGACTGTGTAGAGAAAGAACTCCAGGTCATCCGAGACATTCTAAGTGAGAACGGATATCCAGGGTAGTTTATTAAAGCCAACATAGGTTACAATAGTCGTAAACATGAACTGGCAACGGTGGAGAAAAGCCTCTGTTTTTACGTCTCCAATTCAAGGGAGATACTCCTGCGGAGATTCTATCGTAACGTTTTACCAAGGCGATAAAGAAAACTTTCTACTCTACACGTCTGTGTCTATCCTCCACTAGCCGTCCAATGTTCACCCAGCAACTCAAAGATGTCTTACCTAAGCTTAGCTCTTCTTCATGCATATACCATTTCAACTGTTCAAGTTATATAGGGAACACAATTAGGCAGGTTCGTCTACGGGTTCGAGAACATTTACCAGCTTGGTTCAGCAAGGGCGCAATTAAGTGTATAAAAAGTTCGATCCTGTTACAATTGGTGGGTACTGGATATAGCATCGACGTCAACACAGCTGTCAAGGTTATATACCGAATTCCAAAGTCTTTATCACGTAAAGTTCGCTTAAGTCTCCTACACATAGCTGAAACTATTGCAATAAGATCGACTAAACCGGAACTTTATATCCAAAATGAACACGTCCAGACGCTGTTCTTACCCTGGCCAAACTTGGATTGATGATTCTTCTTCTCACCAAGAGTGCTTCTTCCCCTTAACCCTCTTGGTTTTTGTTTTTCCTTTGCTCACTTTTACAAATATTATTATTATTATTATCACTCGTCATAATTTATGCACTTCATGCAAACATTCTTTCAATACTATCGAATTTTCCATTCATACTACCTGGACGTATTATTAGTAATGATATTATCTCTTTTCTCAATATATGCCTCCACCTGTTTCATTTCATATATTCGTTATTTCATTATGAACCTCTCATTGCAGTCTTACTATCTCCTGTTTAATACAGACCACTTTGTACTAGCCACTCACTCACCTGACACCTTTTATATTTGTAAGTCTGAGGTAAAATTTTGATCACAGTTCATACATTTTTATTTATTATGCATGTTGATGCCTGTTTCATGACTCATATAATTGGACAAAGCTCGTTTTTATAACAAAAGGTGTCCCTTATATTTTTGTATAAACCTCTGTTATTTAAATTTCGATTTATTTCCCTGAAGAAGTTAGAACCAGATTGCTGAATGAAACTTTGGAATTAATCATTTCTATGTTGCTGAGATTTTACAAATTAATTTTTACAAATGTCTACTTCTCACTCGGCGTCCAATTATTCTAGGACTATTCTGTTAAATTTTGACTACAATTCATATGAATGATGGCATTGTTTATTTTGTGACACGTGACATTTAAATGTGATTATAATCGCAAACATTTTAATTCCAGTTGTATTTCATACTACCACTGCTTTTATTTTATGCATTCATACCTTTGTCAAAATTTCCTCACGGCATATAATTTCTTATATATATGAGAAAATGTAATTTGTCTGAATCATGTAATGTAGTATTCGCGCACAACATATTTCGAACAATCTGATCACACACGGACTTGTCATAGGAATATATACATGTGAAATTAATAAAGAATTAAGAAGTGAGAAAATAGACTACTTAGGTCAAGTTAAAAGGACATAGTGAAGGTCAAAATAACAATGAAAATCACTAAACCAAATAACAGAGGTAATAGTACATCTACCCTGGTTGGTATCAAAACAAAGTTTACCAAGGAAGGTGATTTAATGTGATGACGAATTGTTGCTTTGAACGCATAAAGGTGGTTTAAGCTTCCTAATCGCTGACTGGGGATTACACAAACTTTCTAATTGTCTCAAACACGTTTTATAGATAGGTTTAAAAGATTTGTTAACGTCAATTTTATGTCCTGCCTCTATAATATGTTTCGCCATAGAGGAGCTAGGTCTCCTGTTCTCACCATTAATGGGTTCTGAAGATTCTACCTGTTTCTGGAGCCATTTAGGAATATGCTTTGAAGCGAGCCCTTACTTGCAGAGGAGGGTTTAATCGAAAATGTGCCACTTTATAGAAGGTATGTAGATGACATTGTAATCATAATTGATAAGCCTTGTTCTGCCCCCTTAATTTTAAATCTAATGAATGAAGTTCAGAGTAGAATATCACTTACATCTGTAGAAGAAGGAAGATAATTGTTTATCTTTCCTAGACATATTGCTTAGTCGACGGCTTGATGGGTCAATAAAAAGATCTATTTATAGGAAACTTACCTGGACAGGACAGTATCTTGATTATCACAGTTTCTGCCCTGTTCGGTACAAAAGAGCCTTGGTAAGGTGCCTCTTCAGTAGGATCCAACAAATATGTACTGAATACATAACTGATGAGGAAGAAAGAAAGTTGACAGACACTCTGGCTGATAGTAATTATCCAGACAAGTTCATCAGGAGATATAAAGTAGTCAGACCACCAAGACCCACTCTCCAACTCACCCCTGAGAAAGACGTTTACATCAAACTACCCTATATGGGGCATGAAAGCAGCTTGATAACTAGACAAAGATTGAACGCTGCAGTTAAAAAGACTTTTGATGCTGCTAATATCATAACAATTGAGAATATGAAACTTGTATATCTATCTAAGCCCTTTGAACACGCGAAAAATGATGTCACATCCCACTGTATTTACCTATTTCAATGTACGTGTGGACACACTCACATACATAGGGAGGATTCATCGATCTCTGCAAGTAAGGGCTTCAGAGCATATTCCTAAATGGCTCCAGAAACAAATGGAATCTTCAGAACCTATTAACGGTGAGAACAGGAGACCTAGCTCCTCTATTGCGAAACATATTATAGAGACAGGACATAAAATTGACGTTAACACATCTTTTAAACCTATCTATAAAACGTGTTTGGGGCAATTAGAAAGTTTAAACCACCCTTATGCTGACAAAGCAACAATTCGTCATCACACTAAACCACCATCCTTGGTAAATTTTGTTTTGATACCGTAGCAGATGTACTACTACCTCTGTTATTTGGTTTAGTGTTCTTCATGGTTATTTTGACCTTCAATATGTCCTTTTAACTTGACCTAAGTGTCTATTTTCTCACCTCTTACCTCTTTATTAATTTCACATATACATAAAATCCTATGACAAGTCCGTGGAGTGTGATCAGACTGTTCGGAATGTGTTGGGCAAATACTACATTACACGATTCAGACAAATCACGTCTTCTTATTGCTTTGTCTAAATTCATAAAGGGAACTAATTTTAATAAAATAATAATCACAATAATAAATGTAATGATAGGCTTTTAAATTTGTTGAACTTCTGAAGGGTGTAACTGACACTAAGGTAGCTTTCGTCATGCATGAAATCGACTCGCTTCCTTTATACAAACTTAGATACGCAATTGTGAAGAAGTCTAAACTGGCTCGAAACGTACACACTCCGACACACAGACACGCACAGGGCCAGTTCTCTTGCAACTCATGTCCCTTAGTTAGGAAATCTACCACTATGGTTATAATTTTAACGAAGACTTGATGTATACAAACTTACGCAGACCATATTTAATCCGATAGTATTCTTTAGTGAATTCATCACAGTCGCATATTAAGAATTTTCGACCATAAACATTAATAGTAGCACCAATTGTTAAATCATAATCCTTATAAAAGTCATCTTTAGGTGTGCCGAGCTAAAAGTTTTTTTCAGAAAAAAACAAAACAAACGGGGAAAATTAGAATTACTATTAGTATTATTATGACTGTAGTTCATTACTGTTGTTATTTGCTTAAGTCAAATCGGTTGCGTTAATAATGAGCTTAGTCTTGAGTGATCGAAATGGCTGACCAGTGCAAGCCCAACTGGTTGATATGGTTGGCATCCAACTCCTTATCTACATCAGTCTGTAGTATATTATTATTGTTTCCATTAGTTCCTAGAGAAACATACACCTTCAGACGCACTTCTCCATTGCGTCCACTTCTCCGCCAACCTTTTCACCTGACTCCACTTCACACTACCTCCTCCTCCATGTCATCTTCGCACTGACGACCAACTTGCCGTTTCACATTTGGGTTCCACTCGAGCAATGACCCGGCGTGTGATGTCACTTGATGGTTTGTTTTCTCAGAGCATGGCCAGCCAATTCACCTCCATTTCTTCCTGCATATTTCTTGCACAGTTGGTTCCTGCTGCGTTGGTTCATTCATTGTCAGAGATCCCTCACTATTGCTGAACTTTTCTGGCTGGCCATTTGATCTTGAGAGGAGTATTGAGCGAAGACAGCTGTTGATGAAGGTGTGTAGTTTGTTTGAAGTGGCCTTCGTGACATGGCGAGGCGCAAAGTCCTTGATCCGTATAGTGGATAGCACTGATTTCACATTGGAGTTAAAAATCCACATCTTATTTTCATTTTCATGCTGAGTGCTGTTGATCTCCACACAGATTTGAGAGTAGTGAAAGCTTGTCTTGTTTTCCCGATGATCCTCGCTTTGATATTCTCATCAGTTCCATCCACCTGTAGTTGAAACGATGGTGCTTCCCAGGTAGGTAGTTAGGTAGTTAGGTAGGTAAAGGAGGTTTCGTTGCTTGGCTATTCGATATTCTTTCAGAAGATGTCAAAAACAGTATACTACTTAGAAAATTCTGTCACTACTACTATTATCAGTAGTATATGACAGGATATCAGTTGATAAGACGAGAGTTGTTGGCTACATCGTAGATAAGTTCTTCTTCAGCAGAACTTGTAGAATACTAAAATACTAAAACCGGAATTCCATCTTAAAAATGAACTTCCAGTCAAGATTATATCATCAATTTCTACCAATTGTTCCGGAGATAGATAAAAATTTATTATTTATTTAAATGTTGCACAATAAAATATTGATTTTATTGATTTGATATTCAAATGATAATCTGAAGTAATTTTAAAACAAAATCATGATTTATCTGAAATCCATTTTTTTCCAATCATTACCTTTAAACTATCGAGTACATAGTGTCCACCTCTTTGTGCTTGTCCAAATACATTCAATAAGGTTCTATCCGTGACTACACCAGGCAAAGGTAATGGTGAAACTGTACGCGGTAGTTTTTGACGACGTAGAAAGCATGGAACAGCATCACGACCAGAGTTAGCTGGTATAACTTCACGTATTTCAATTGTATCGTCAGCTAAATTAACAAATAAATTAATAATGATATTAGTTAAAAATGAAGAAATGCGCTGAGAATGAATGTCACGGAGCCAAGTGTTGGCTAATCATAGCTATTCCGTTACTATAATTTCAAATTACCAGAAACTGACTACTATCTTCTTCATTTAAGTAATATGAATTTTGTAGACTAGTGTTCACTTACATAATTGTCTTAGTGTTTAGGCGCTAGAGTTTGTTTGGCCAGTAGAATTCTGTCAGCTATGAAAAGTAGTAATCCATCCAGTGGTCTACTTCACAGACAAGATTTATAAGTGACTATTATTATTATTATATGTTCCCAGTAGAGCATAAGGTTTCAAGCTAGAGGCTTGAAGTTTCGGTAGCAGTAGTATTTGCAATTAATAGTGTTCGCCGATCTGGTTGGTTTATTTGCGGAGCTTTCATCGCCCTTCTGAACAACATATTCAGCGCAATATTTAGCATAAAGTGAAATTATTTAAATTTCTTCATGAGTGATGTAAGTGCGTCTCCTGGTAGCCATCTTTACATATGTATTGACCACTTTCTATTGACTTGGATTTTAAACTTTCTGGTCACCTGATTTACTTTTTACTAGTTGATATATTTCGTCTATATTAACGTGCTTGTTAATTGCATTTTCGTTTGAGTACCAGGCTTCTAGGAATGCCCTGACTGCCCTTTTGGTGTTTCCTCTGTCTAATATTTTGACGTTATCCCAATCAAATTGATGACCATAATTGTCTATATGCATTGATACTAAAGAATACATATCATGTCTTTTCACGACTAATTTGTGTTCTTGGATTCTAATTCGAAGGGGACGCCCACTTTGGCCGATGCAATGCTTGTTGCATTTCATACAATTTATTTTGTAAATGGTATTAATTTTATCTCCTTTCTCCGTTGTATCTTTCGGTTTGCATAATATCGAATTAAGCGATTTGACTGGCTTGTGTGCTATATCTATATCAAACAGTTTCTGTATTCTAGCTGTTATTTCAGAGATATTTCTCATGTATGGTAGAATGAATTTTCTTGTGGTCTTTGATGATGGTTGTTTGTTGGTATTTTGATTCGACTTTAAACACTTTTTGATGAAATTTTTTGGATAACCATTCTTTTTGTAGGTATTTTTCTTCCATTCTTTTCAACTTTGGAGTGCTACAATGTGTTTGAACTCTTTTAAACAATGTCTGCACACAGTTTCGTTTGTGAGTAATTGGATTATTGCTAATATATTTGAGTATTTGATCTGTGTGCATTGATTTTCTATATACTTGTGTTTCTAAATCTCCTGTGTTGGTTCTCCTGATTGAGACATCTAAAAATGGGATTTTGTTATCTAATTCTTCTTCTCTTGTGAATTCGATGTCTTCAGATATTTTTTTTATTCCTTCACGTTCCCAGTGAAACATAGAGCTACTTCAAGCCTCTGGCTTGAAGTTTCTTTAGCAGTGTTTATTTTTACAGGATGGGGTTGCTAGCCTCATGCTCAACCTTTCCTCTTCACCAGCATTATTTTTGGCTTAGTGAAGTAAAGGAGTGCGTCTGTGGCCGGGGATCGAACCCAGGACCATGTGCATGGTCGGCGAGCGTCCTCACAGCTATGCCACCGACGCACGTGTCTTCAAATATGTTGTTTATTAATTTATGAGTATATTCTAAATCATTACAAATGTATCATTTTACGGGATGGAGTTACTAGCCTGCCTCATGCGCAACCTGCCCTCTTTACTAGTATTGATGTTGGTTTAGCAAGGAGAAGAAATATGTCGGCTGGTTATCAAGGCCCAAACCACATGAGGCGTGGTTGGCTAGCAGTCTACCTCTGTGCCACCGGCGCACATGTATAAGTGAGCTGAACTGAATTATCACCTTGGACTGTTGTGCTAAACTATGGCAAAGCAAGGTCTCATACTCCATAAAGGTATACATAAAGGTAGAGTAATGAAGACGGTAAACAAACAATATAATGAACGGATACGTTTGCGTGTGTGTGTGGGTGTGTGTAGAGTACCTGCATTGAAAAGGATTAGAATTCAATAGATCTGGGTAATTGCAGAGAATGAAAAACACCTCTGATGATTATAAGGACTTTCTGTCAGATCATCAATAGTCTTCAGTAATTCGTTGTCAACGTTTCGACTGCTCTAGACAGGTGGGTTGTGTATTTGCAGTTGACGTGATTGTAAAGAATAGTGTTCGAAAATACCACTTTGAGTCGCGAAAAAAAAGACAAATTCAGCGAAGAAAATTTTCCTTATCCACGCAATCATCTTCAAAGGCTGTACAATCTTATTTGTATTTACCAAAAATATATAGTAGTCCATTATTTAGTAATTTATTCTTACTCAATAGCAACTTTGTTTTCCTTCACGTTCCCAGTGGAACATAGAGCTTCAAGCTAGAGGCTTGAAGTTTCTGTAGCAGTGTTTTACTTTTACAGGATGAGGTTGCTAGCCTAATGCCCAACCTTTTCTCTTTACCGGCTTTTTATTACTGGTTTGGCGAGGTAAAGGAGTGCGTCGGTCGGGGATCGAACCCCGGATCATGTGCATGGTCGGCGAGTGTCCTAACCACTGTGCCACCGACGCACGATAGCAATAGCAATCTTAAACCTCATCAAATTTCTATCTTTGTTCCGTTGAGTACCACGTAATTTATAACTTTTAATTTTTACTTCTAAAGCCACTTCCGAGTAATTATATCAATTATGTCACCCCCCTTCTACTCAATAATAGACCACTATATATTTGTTGGTAAGAATAAATACGATTGTACAGCCTCTGAAGATGATTTCGTTGATAAAGAAAATTTTCTTCGCTGAATTCCATATTAGTTGGTTTATTAGGTGTATCACACAGTCAGTGAAACAGTATTGTTTACTGGATGACACAGTTTCGAACAAAATTCACTTATTGTTTATAATCATATCATCAATTATTATCACACGACTTCGAAACTGGAGTTTTATAGTTTTCTTTGTTCTCTCCTATTTGTCGTCATCGGGGCAGTAGAATTTTTCAGATATCTCGTTGGACAGGTGTTGAATCATTCCTGTTACACGTATTCTCTCTCAATTGATTCGATAAACAAAGCTTCCGTTGATATCAATCTCTCCCTCCACCCTGCTTTTACATTCGATTGTAAAAAACTGTCATCTTATCCCATCCTAGATCAGTTGACCCGAATAAGATTAGAAATCTGGAGAATGGTGAATCTGTAGATAGCACTAATTGCAGTTATACACAACCATACAATAGGATGGATGGGATAAGATGACACTTTTAAAATCTAATGTAACAGTGTGCGGGGTGGGATTGATAACGGAAGCTTTGTTTATCAAATCAACTGAGACAGAATACCCAACACCTGTCCAGTTGGGTATCTGGAAAATTCTACTACCACGCCTACGACGACAAACAGGAGAAAACAAAGAAAACTATAAAACTCCAGTTTCGAAGTCGTGTGATTATAACTGATATGATTAAGAACCACAATAAATTTTGTTCGAAACTGTGTCATCCAGTAAATAATAATACTGTTTCACTGACTGTGTGATATATCTATCTAATAAACAAACTTATATGGAACCAGAGAAAATGTATGCAAAAGAGAGATGGAGGTTTTAGATAGCCTAAGTTTTAAGCAGGCCACCACTTCACCTTCGGTATTGCCTGACTTTTAGGATTTGACCCAATTTATTTATTGGATTTTCAGGATATGCACATATTACTACCTTTGTTATTTTTATCGCCACCACCATAAACCTTATTACCATTATTACTTTTGCTATGATTATAATCATTGTTATTACTGACGTTCAAGACATTTGACACTCTATTATTATTATTTGGTCCACAAACTCACCATTATCGCTTAAATTTTTTAAATTTATACGTATAGCTATGTAAATTAGAGTAAAGCCTGATGAAGATCTGATTGAGAACAACAATACTCATCGCTTATATATCACAAAATAGCATAGTGGTCTTCTCGAGACAGTATTACAAGTTAACAGAACTCTGATAATAGTAGTATTAGCACCAGTAGTGGCATTTTCACTTATTAGAATAGAAATTATACTCAACTATTAATGTATAATTATTGCATAAAACAAATATTTTTGATCAATAGTTCAATAGTTCTCATAAATGCTTAAATATCTTATTATTATTTCTTACCCAAAAAGTAATTAAGTATCATTTCTCTAGGATCACCATACAGAGAATCTGTATCATCCCAGAAACAGAAAAATCTTAAGACATGACGATCATGATCAAGAAATTGACGAAGTTTATCAATTCTTTCATATGGTCTAAGTGGTTGCATACTTTCAGTGAACTAAAAGAAAAACAAAAAAAGAATTATGAATATCTTTTTTTTCGAGTAATGGTTTTGTAGGGAACTTTGTTTAACTGGTTGGAGGATTTCATCATTAGTTGACATCAGTTAGAGGACCATTGGAAATCTTGCAGGGAGTACTGGATATATGTTTCGTCCTAGTTTGAAACTCTTCAATACTACGCTGAAATCCTCCAACCAATTATAAGTGTTTTTTGTGTGGAAAAGACATGCACTCGCATTACAGTGACAGTTAAAAAGGAATGATGACTTATTCGCTGGTAGTATGAATTCAGAGCGTAAAGTACAGTACCAAAAATGCTTTTTAAATTCTGTGCTTGCATTTTACAAATATTATTTTCACGAAAAATATTTTACTACTAATAAGTAGTTAATGATTTTAAACTGAAATATTTCTCGATCAGTAGAAAATTGGTATGCCTAAGTGTGTGGTTCATAGCTATACTGTGCTGATGCATATATTTGCCAATGATCCAGTGGTCCACGGCTGGATCCCCAGCTGAAGAACTTCTAAACCTGGCATAGTTTACTAGCCAGTAGTAAGGGTGAGAAAGACGAGAGGTTTGTTTTGATAGAATTCAATCTGACATGACACTAGTTGGTAACTAGTTTCCAGTCAAAGTATCCAATACAGTCGCTAGCCCCAATAGATCTGTGGTAATGTCTCTGACTGCAGCACTTACTGGGTGACGTGGGTTTGAATCTCGGAAGGGACATGAGTTCCTTCGAGTTTGCAGATACGCTTTACTGACTGGTGAGTGCCAACTAGCACAAAACCTAGGTCCAAGGCTTCCTACCGATTGCCTTCAGCCACTTAATATCAACAGTTCACAGAGTGCCGTGATGACGGCCACATTGAAAACTTGACTGACGATGGAATTCAGTCTTCACCAAACAAAGAACTGGACACATTACACTAGTTACTGACTAGTGTCCAGTCAAGAGTAACTCTTTGTTGAAAGTCTTTTCTTTTATATGACTCAATGGGGATTTTCAATTTTCTACATAAATGTGTATGACAGGTACTCGTGTGTGTGTGTGTGATTAGAATGTCCGAAACACATTACACGTTTCAGATAAACTACGTCTCCTTATAGTTTTTTTCCAAAATTCTTAAAGGGAACTAATTGCCTTTAATGTATTTTAATCAGAAATCACTTAATCCTTTTCAGCTGGTTAAAGCTGGTGGATGGTGACTAGCAGTGGAATCCAGGATGCGTATTTCATCCTACTTGGAACTCGTCCTATGGTTGTATCTGTATTCCGCAGTGAGTGATGATGTTTTTTTTTTACAAGGAGACAAATTATTGTCATGTGTGAAAGCTGAAAATTATTATTTTTTTGAATAAAGTTGTTACTGTCCTTACAATCATTAATACTACTGAATTCAGTGCACGACTTTCAAAATACGCTCTGTGAGTTGATACTTCATTGTAGTTTCCTTTGAAACCCAAAGTTATTCATATCATAAATAAAATAATTTACAAATTGCAAATTCTATTTCATTTATTGCCAATTTGTCCAAGTAACTAGTCAGAACTTTAGCGGCTGGGATCGATTCGGGTCTTTGAAGTGAATCACACCGAGTACACCACTGATGATCTTGGCTTCAAGTGAGTGAAACGTCTTTCCAGTGTGTTAACATCACCTAAATCTGACGCGTGTGATACGCAACTACTGATATTAATCAATCAGTAGTATACAGCATTATAGTTAAAAAATCTTTAAAAATTTGAATAATATTATCACTGATACTCACAGCTTTACGGTGTAAACTGTAAGGATCATCTGGTATTGGCTCTGGTTCACCTAAGCGTACACCAAGTTTCCTTAGGAAATTTGATGTAAACTGATCACAGGCAACAATACGAAATGTTTTCCCGTAGGCTATAAACTCTGTACCCACATTGAAATCATGTACAGTATAGTAGAGATGTTCATTTGGTGGTGGTTTATTTATACGATGTCGTTTAACAATTGTACCTGATTAAGTAAAACAATTAATATTTTTAAAAAAGCAGTTTGAGACTGAAGGATACAAAATGTACAGTAACAGCAACAACAGAACATATACATGATATTAATAATAATTATTTTCAAGAGTTGGTTTGTAAGGATTAGATTTGTCTTTTTACGAGTTTGACCACGGATTGACATCAGTTAGAGAACCATTGAAAATCAGGGAGTACTGAACAGCCAGTTGTTTCATCCTCGTTTGGGAATCACCGACAGTATTCATCCACTGCGGTTCGAACCCAGGATGCTCGCTAGTGACTTGCTACAGAACGGAGTTTCCTGGAGTTCTAGTAAGAAGCCGTGACAAGTGGGGTTCATCCAGTCAAGTATGAGGATGGAATTTCCGACGATGACATGGGTTGGTGGTCACGCTAAATCACGAATTGGTTGAATTTAGAATTCATGGGTTGGCCATTGAATCGGGTCCCAGTGGCTGAATGGTATACGAGCTTGTCTTGTAACTGGAAGACCCTGGGTTCGAACTCTGTGTGGTGGGTGCGTAATACCGATGATTCCCAAAGTAGGACAACGGAAGCAGCTGTGCAGTACTGTGGTGCTGGTTTTTAATGGTTCTCTAAATAATATCAATCTTAGGTCAAACTCGTGAAAGAAAAATTATTATTCTCTTGGTTTGTGAGTAGAATACTGGGCTTCAGAAGTACATCGACATATAGCTGTCCTCTTCCCAATATTTTTTAGCTGGCTGTACAATTGACCGTTAGCTTTCATTTCCTCTTCACAGTATCTCCTCCATATCGCTGTTGGACACCCAAGTCATTATTTCCCATTCAGGTTACACTTGTCAGCCTAACGTTTAATGTTACTCAGCGGCCTTTTCGGCGTGTATTTCCAATCCGTCTCCACTTCCTTCTCTATATTTGTTGGGCAATAAATTTTACGTTGGTTCACTGTCACAGTTATCCCTTCTGATGAGCCATCTGTTCTTCGGTTTGAAGCGAAGGCAGCTGTAAGTGGAAGTCTGCAGTATGTTGGAAAACTTCTAGTAAAACGCTAAGTCTTTTATTATTATTATTATTATTGTATCCTTTAATTCCTATAGGAACATAGGGCTTCAGCCGTGCGTCTCCATTGCGTTCTGTTCTCCGCTAGAGTCTTCACCTGGTTCCAAGTTTGCCCACACGTTCTCATCTCCTCTTCACATGACCTCCTCCAAGTCACCCTTGCACTGACGGCCAACTCGCCGCTGCCCTTTCGGGTTCCACTCAAGCGATGGCTTGTCTAGTGATGTCACTCACTTGATGGATTGTTTCCTCAGAGTATGGCCAGCCAATCCATCTCCATTTCTTCCTGCCTATTTGTTTCACAATCGGTTCCTGGTTGGTTCGTTCCCGAAGATCCCTGTTGCGCTAAGTCTTTTACACATATAGAATTAGTGAATTTAAGGTAGTTTTGAAAGCTCGGATCTTATACCTTGGTTGAGTACAGAAGATTTTCACATTGATGTCAGATTAAAGAAGGTTTACCTTTCTTTTCTAATCCTAGCTTTAACATCCTGATCTCTGTCGCCTGTAGTTGAAACGATGCTGCCCAAATAAGTGAAAAAGTGACCTCGTTCAATATTTTTCCGTTGATAGTGACTGGTGCCTGTTGTTGTTGCTGGTCTTCGTATGCTTACATCATCTGTCTTATTTATATTTGCTTGAAGTCCTGTCTTCTCTGCTTATCCTGCCCAACTGTTGGTTTTCACGCATAAGACCTAAATCATTCGCAAAGTCCAGACATTCTAGACTTAACGTATTTCTGTCTCAATACTCCTCATGGTCTGTTGATGAAATCCAGTCCATCACAATTAGGAATATCATCAGTAATAGTAGGCAGCCTTGTTTGACTCCTATCTGCTCTTCAAAGGCTTCACTGGGCTTTCCACTGTGAATTATTTGACATGTGACGTCATTATATATCTGTCCAATGAGGTTTATAAAGGCTTGCGAACTTCTAGTAACAACAATAACAACTGCCTAACAGGATTTGTGGATTTCTGGTAGCAGTGATGTGATCAATAACACTTTTAGGATGATGGTAATTAACCGTAGGATTACTCAATAATCACATAAACTGTTAAGTCAGGAGGTCATGTAGTTTATTTTCTAGTATTTCCAGAACTTTCCTAATTCTGTCGCGTGTTAAAGAATAACCAGTGATGTGGATAAGACTAAATACAACAACAATAAATAAAATGCGTGTCATTTTGCAAATCAATATTTATGTAACTAGCCATCTAGTATTATTGTCTTACTCTAATAGGTTTCGATCAGAATCTACCAGACAATTGTGTAGTAATCCTACTAGACTGAACTTCACTACAATGAACTTTTATTTTTAATATTATCAGTTTGTGAAGGCAGAAAGCTCTGTAGATACGCCTTACTGATAAGTGCCAGCTAGCATGAAACCTAGGTCAAGCAAGGCTTCCTGTGGCCGATTGCCTCCGAACATCTAATGCCAACATTTCAAAGTACACCGTGATGGTCAGCCACCTAGCATGGTGGCGACATTGCAAGCTTGGCTGATAGAATTCAGCCTTCACCAAACAAAAGAATAGACATAATACACTTTTTCGCCTAGTGGAATTGTGTCGGTTAGTTCGCTTAACACAGTGCATTCTTGATCATTGAATTTCAGTCAACAACCTTAAGACTAGACTTGTGGATCCTTTATCATCTGAAGACCGATTCATGTAAGCAAGTTATTTTCATAGAAGGATAAACCTAACTTGAATAAGCTATATAAGCAAATCATTAGCTTTAATATTGAATTATGAAAATGTGAGTGTCCGAGGGGTAGTAGATTTTCCAAAGCTTTCAAGTAATCCTTCGGATAGCCGTACGACCATTGGAATTCCCATAAACTGAGCTGTAAATTACAAGTTCGGTTATGAACTGACTTTATTTAGAGAACTGTTGAAAACCAGGGAGTACTCGACATCTGTTTAGTCCCTCTATGAAGCTGTGAGTACACTGGACTGATACAAGTCAGTAAATGAAGTATCCAGGATCAAAGCAACCTGCTGACTAGATTTTTTATTTTTTGTTTTGAAGATGGAGTATAAGGCCTCACGTTTTCGAATTTTCATTAGCAATGGTGTTGATTTCACACGGTGCGGTTGCCAATTTCATATCCCAGCTGAGCCCTAGGAGAAGTTTGCGTCGGTGGCATAGAGGTAGAGTGCTCGCCAACCATGCATGCGGTCCGGGTTTCGATCCCCGGAAGACGCACTCCTTTACCCCGCTAAGCCAGAAATAAAGCTGCTGAAAAGGAAAGGCTGGGCATGAAGCAGGCTAGCAACCCTATCCCCCAAAAATAAACACCACTACTACAGAAACTTCAAGCTTCTAGCTTGAAGCCCGATGTTCCAGTAGGAACGTGAAGGAATAAAAAATGGAGAGGCTTAGAAGTGAATTGACCATGAATTGAATACGAACCTCTTACATGGCAAGAATCTTGGTGGGCTCAAGGAATTGTAGTCACTAGACTATGCTATTTTGCATAAACCATTCAAAATATCTGACCTGGCGTGTAATATTACTTGATGGTTTGTTTTCTTAGAGTATGACCAGCCAATCCACCTCCATTCCTTCCTGTATAATTCTTGCCCAATTGGTTCCTGATAGATTGGTTCACTCATTGCCAGAGATCCCTCACTATTGCTGATCTTTTCTGGCCGGCCATCTGATCTTGAGAGGAGTGTTGAGCGAAGACAGGTGTAGATGAAGGTGTGTAATTTGTTCAAAGTGCCCTTTGTGACGCTGCGCGGCGTTAAGTCTCTGATCCATCCGTATAGTAGCACTGACTTCACAGTGGAGCTGAAAATCTGGATCTTGTTTTACATGCTGAGCAGTGCTGTTGATCTCCGCACATACTTGAGAGTCTTAACTAAACAGTAACTAGTGCCAAGTCTATATAGGCAAGAGAATGATTATGAATATATAAATATATGACCAAAATTCAGCAGTAAGTATATAATGTTCATCATTATCATAAATTTATTTTTTTCAATGCATACGGATATTCTATCCTTCTTCTGCTGGTTGTAAATGCGTATGAAACACAGTTGCTGTGACGTGGCCAACAATAATTCCCAACCTATTCATTTTACTGGTAAAGGTGAAAAAATAATTATCCTCCATCACAGAAAATCTATGGGGAAAACCAAATAGTTTACTCGCTGTCAAAGGGTTTAATAGTATGAGAGAAAAAGGTGAGACACAATTCAAAATACATTTGTCCATTTATCTTTTTAAAATTTTAATACAAATTACCTTGTGACATTCCAGTATTTGCAATACGCGGTTCAATAATCTGTATGGTGTCATCTTCTGGATAGAATATTATTTTACACCGTCTAATACGATACTGCTCTTCTCGTCTTTCGTGGACAGATTCTTGAAAATACGCATCAAACGATAATGCCTAAAATTGTGTGAGATGATTCGAAAGACGAAAGATGAGTTAGAATTTAAAATCAGCAGCTGGGATAAAAAAACATAAAAATAAGTAATAAACTATAAAAATTAAGTCACAAAAGTAGTTTACAAGCAGCAATAGATGATTCCATGTTTGTACTTGTTTCGTCCTTTTTATTTGCATATAAACATATATGTAAATAGAAAGAAATTCAGTCCACACAAATTAATATATATATATATATATAAAATACAGTTGCTTGGTGAGTTATAATTGTCCCAAAATAGACATACAGAATAGTCGTGGTGAAGTAGTTCTTTTTGGTATGCAGTTGCTTACTACACGTAAGAGTATGCAAATGGCCCGAGGGTGCTTGCAGAGAGAAAGGGAGATTGAAGCAAAGGGTCCGAATGTGGATGTACGGATCAGGTACGAGACAGAGGTGATTGGCTATAGGGGAAAGCAAGAAGCTGGAGAGGGAAGTTGTGTTGTCCTTTGTGCGTGGTGAACCAGGTTTTATCCTTATTCAATCTCAATTAACAACCACGATGGGCAGTGAATTCATTATTTTTAGTATTTTACAATGAATGTATAATGTGATAATTTCTGGCCTCCACAAAGTGTAAAAATAATTGAAACTGTTACTAGCTTCCCAGGCATAAAAAAATACAGAGGTTTTATGCTCATGAAATAAACTTCATCTTTGAGAATAACTCCCACTCTCCGTTAGTTTTGGTGTCAATGTGTTTCCGTCTCCTTACTTCGTGTGATACATTGATGCATGTCAAATCGAATTCTTGTGACGTTTGAGGCTTCAGTAGGATAAATTTATGGCAGAACTGAATATCTTGTATTTACTGATTACGCTTCTCAGTCTCATAGGGATAAAAATGGTGCTGTCAGTCTTCAGTAATATTTTCACTTAGTTCTAAATAGAAAATCTTGCGGTAATTTTCGAGTTTTTGGTGTTTTTTTCCACGTAGATAGAGTCTCCAGCTAAAAAGAAACTTTTAATTGCAGGGCTAGATTGTCTCTGTGATGAAGTTTTTGCAGGAATATCGAGCGCGACAAAAGTAAAATGGTTATATGAAGCTGCAGAAGATGATTACTCATGGTTGTATGTATAAGTACGTTATAATAGCTATTGTTATTATTTATAGTATTAAAACTGATAATAAATAAAAAATTGCATTTTAAAACATTCTGTTTTCAGCTTCAAAACCAAAAAAGTAACTATCGATAATGTATCAAATTAATTAAGTGTCTGTACAAAAGTTTAAATTAATAAATAAAGTCTAACGTAAACCACACCTGTTTATCAAAAGCTAGCCATGGAGGGAGCTGACTGCCTATTCCTGATGGATAAACACTTGTCGGTGCCTCAGTTCGCTGTCCAGGTAAAACATCCCCACCAATTCCTGGTTTGTCATCACCGTACGAATAAGGTGTTTCGTTCCTCAGTTGCAGATAATGTGACTTGTGAAACTTCTCTTTACCAAGCTAAAATCGATAATTAAAAAATATGAATTCTAACATTTCTATTGAAAGTATTTCCTGGTAGAAATGGAAGAGCCATCAGTATGGAGACAATTTAAAAAGGCACATGTTACATATCCATGGTAGTCAAAAGTTAAAACAAAACTATTTGTTAATTGAGGGGTGGTATACAATAATTTTTCATCTGATATGCATTTCAAATAGTAATACACTCATACTTTTCTGTGTCTACTTGAGACTTTTGGAAAGCTGGGAATCCATGTTATTCACTATCTATCAAGAGTCAGTATTTTTCACCTCTTTTTGGAATACTATTCAAATTCTTTCAATATCCAATATCATTTTTTACAAGCTTGTGTAAGCCAATTTGAATTCCTGGTGCTTGTTTCTCGGCTGTAAGGTAAAGGTTCCTGGTCTTCGGCAAACTGCTGCATAGTTCGTCCCGCCACTCTGCTGTCGAAGCTTTGATTGCCTCTAAAAGGAGTTGCTCTGGGATTAGTCAGTATGCGGTGTGTTAAGACCAGGTTGCTACTGTGAATGAAGTTGATCCTTTCACCCTTTAGATGTCCGGTGTCGTCAACAAAATACAGAGATGAAAATAATCACAAATGTAATTGGGGTAGGTTGTGTGGACTAAAAAAGAAAAATAAATAAAGCAAACGAAAAAACAGACAGATAATGAAATCTGAAATTGACATATATATATATATATGGTACATATATATTTGTATACACAGACATCAATAATAATCTAAGGGACGTTATAGCTGGAGTAGTCAGTAGAGTAAGACAATAAAGCATGTGAAGAAGTGAAACGATGAGTTTCGGTATCTGCCCCATAATAGTGTATTAGATTTTAACGGTATAGGCCGTTAGGATGTAGTCATTGTGTCGCTGCATGGTTTCCCACTCTTATCTTACAGCTGTAGTTGTGCCGTAGCTTCATCTGTCGGGGCGGGACGGCAAACTAGCAGTAAAAAGAAATGGGAGCACACTCGAGTGTTTGCCCTCTGGTGAGCTGTCTTTCGTGGATTCCCACGAGGATGCCCATATGCACTTGGTGGCAGAACACCTTTATTTTGGCGATTCTGTTTATTAGTAATACTACTGGCAGTAATCAAGTTCCCCCCTAAGCCACCAGTAGATAAGTGTGAAGAGATTAAATTTCTTTGGCCTTTCATCAAATGGTTTGTTTCAGAGACCCACCACCTCATTTGTTTTCAGCCTGTGGACACTTTCCTAAAGGTTCTTGTTTCATCTAAGTATTGGGGGTGCAGTGACATTCTGCACTTTGAGGTGTGGTCTGTCATTTATTTTGTACAACCTAACTGTCTATGTTTAAAGCGTGTGACCATATATGACCTTGCTGCGTCCCCCATTTAATGTAAGCTTGTGTCCATTTTTTCCGTTAGACACTTTCATAAATTGACTGATTTCTTGGCAAACAAGTATCAATTTCACGGGACGCTTCTGGGAGTTTCATGGGTTCTAGTACTCTAGAAATACTTCCTTTATTTCTGTGATGAGGATGTGAGCCTCATGCAAAATCTTTCATCCCTGGGAGGGAGTGAGCGTGCTATGCTCCTGTCTAAGTCCATAGTCACTGCAGCATCTTTGGTCAAAATTCAACCTCCACTAGATGTTGGGAAAACCGACATGAATGTCATTCTTCCTGAAGCCACACTAAAGAAGTTGCATTTAAGTCCGTAATCTAATATAGAAGTTGCTTCAGGTTAATTTGGGCCAAGAAGCCAATAGCCTGTACCAAGATGTCGAAAACAGTGAATTTTTGGATAAGTCTACAGATTCGAGAACTGAGTAGGCGGCACCAAAAGTTCTCAGATGTGTTTATCACACATGAGACTTCGGGAGACAGAAATATGGCTCTTTTAGGAGTTCGTCGATCACAGGTAATATTGGAATAGCAACTAGCTGAAGATGCAATCAAACAACCCACGAAAATATTTTCTTTCCTTAACCCGAGGAACAAGATATTCAAGGAGTCCGAAACCTGATGTTTTATGCTGAAAAAGTCTAGGAGGATAAGAACAACTCAGAATCTTCAGCAGATTGCTTCAATGGCCGCCTCTAACCCTTCGCCCACCAGGTTGTGGCCACGCCAGATGAATATGGGATAGATTCTCACTCCAGCCTCTTTGCAAACTAGATACAGAGAAATCAATGGATCTGGATTACCCCCACCAAAGGCCACTTTGGAGCTGTCAGACTACATAGAGGTCAATTGACTGCAACCTTAGGGCACCTCTTTGATATGGAGGTTCATTGCGCGGTTGGAAGGATGCCACAGCAACCCCTATCCATATGGCAGGATCTAGACACTGCCCTTCTAGCTACTGACTTATCAGTCTTACCGGCACTGTGGTCAAGATAATCGACGGATTAAACAAAAGACGATCATGATGCGTTTGTATGAATTAACTTGTAACTTTTGAGTAACTTGATATGATTATGAGCAAAAATTTGTGCTCGAAACGTCATCAGTTAATATTACTGTGTAACGCTGTGTGATTTATCAAAATAAAATCTTATCCATAATGGAGTTACACTCTACTACAGTGCCCAAGTTTTATACTTATATGAATTAACTTGTTATTTTGCTCACCGTACGCTCCAACTGGAAATCTCTCTCGTCTGATAAACTCTCTTGGGCAAGGAAAAGCCATAGTCAACAAGAGAGTGATCAGCACCAGCTACTGGATTCAAGTAAGTATTTCGACAAAGCGTTTCACTCATAACTACTGAAGAAACTGAAACGTTTTGAAGTCACTGGTGACACGCTAAGCTGAATACAGGAATTTCCTATCGGTAGAAGGCAGTATACGTGAACTCGGAAATCTCCTGTAAGATAGCTCACTTAGCCCCCTCTTATTTACACCAAATATCAACGATTTGAGTGGGCTCACCAAATCTGCGATGGTTCTGTACGAAGATGAAACCAAATTACCAATAAGCTTAAGGAATACACGCATGTGCTAAGGTTTCGGAGATATCAACAAGCTGATATAACCATCCAAGGAATTAGTGTTCTGGGTCAACTTAGAAAATTGTACAACCATATGCATCAGACACCCAAGTGTCGGCTAATGGGTGAGATAGATTTGTCATCACTCCAAAAAGCACATGGATCTAAATGTTATAGTGATTCATAACCCGCAAACTTCTGAGTAGCGTGATGGCAACTTGAGGTCTTAGATTCTCATGGGCTGCATGCAGAGCCTGCATAAAAATTACCAGTGAAATATTCATCCCTTATATACCTCACGTGAGGTCAAAACCAGAAAACTGCACTCAGGCGATCGGCACTGGATTCATATATTCTAGAAAGGGTCCAAAGGAAGGCCACTTTACGATTTCCGGTTAGAATAATATGTCAAACGAGGATAGAGTTACCAATTTCGAATGTTTTCCTTATTGTACAGATCTAGGAATGGCAGTCAGCCGTCCAGCTCAAATTCATCGACTTTGAAAAGGTCTTCGACAGAGTCGATCGAGGGATGATTATGAAACTACTTGGCTACTATGGGGTGCCACCAACACCTATACATCTCGTCCAACAGTTGTATGATAATCCTGCTTGCTAAGTAATCCACAAAGCGGAGCTCACGGTGTCAGTGTCCAGGTCTAACTACACTGGACTTGGCGCTGTCCTTAGAAGACTTTCAGCAACAGTGTGCAATAACCAACGCGAAAAACCAGAACACAGATTGGTGACTCAAGAATCCTTTATTTTTGCACCAAGATGGAACCATCCATAAGGTTATTCTACACAAAGTCTAAGAATGAATGTCATAACGATTAATCACAATAATACTTCTGATAGTATTTCTTCGTCTTCTAACGAACAGCGTACAATGGAACGATATCTGCATTATCGGTGATTCCCGCCAAAATATGGAGTTGGTTTTGAGTAAACAACCATGAATTGATCGTTCATTCTTCAACTGCATTGACAAACGGAATCCTTCGAAGTGAAGACAAGAGTAAGACAAGCTGGCTGGTTGCCTACTATCTTCAATGACTTTCCTGACTGCCGTACAGCGGATAATGCGACAGACAGCGGACAACGAGGAGACATGTATAAAATGGGTCCACACAATATCTTGGAGAATATGTATTTCACCGATTACATATGTCTGATTTTCCACAAACTGGATGATTATTATTCCTTTACCTTCCGAGTGGAACACAGGACTTCATCAACACATCTCCACAGATTTCTGTTTCTGCCGTCCGCTTCAACTGGGTCCACGACTGACCAAACTCTCTCACCTCTTCTTCACACGATCTGCTCCATGCTACATTAGGACGACCCACTCGTCACTTCCCATTTGGATTCCACTCGAGGGCCTGACGTGCGATGTCATTCGGTGGCCTCCTCATTGTATGCCCGATCCATCTCCACCTTCTCCTACATATCTGTTGAGCGATCGGCTCTTGGTTGGACATCCTTTTGGTTACACGCAGTGCAAGTTTCTGATTCGTATAGAAGAACCGACTTGACATTGGTGTTGAAAATGCGAATCTAGTTCCTTATGCTGAGTGTGGAAGACTTCCAAACTAGTTTCAGGTTGTTGGAGGCTTATCTTGCCTTTCCGACTGTGACTGACTCTGGCATCTTTATCCGTTCCACCTGTAGTTGAGACGATGCTTCCCAGATAAGTGAAGGAGGTAACCTCAGTTAAATCTCTCCCGTTGATGGTGGTTAGTGGCTTTTGTTGCTGTCGATTGGTTGTTTTCATGACCTCCGTCTTCTCTTTGTTCCCCTGGAGCCCTGTCTTCGCTGCCTCTTCAGACAGTTTGTTGGTCTTCGTTTGCCAGTCTTCGAGGTTGTGTGACATTAGACATATGTCATCCATAGTCGAAATCCAGATCCTCTAGAGCCTTCTCATTGGTGGCCCAACGTACTCCTGTTTTCTCACTCCCCAACCACAGTCTGACGCACAATCCAGTCCACCACAATTAAGAATATCATCGTAGGTGGTAATAGGTAGCCAGCCTTTTCTTACTCCTGTCCCCACTTCGAACGCTTTACCTAGATTTTTGTTGTGGATCACCTGA